TTTTTTTTTTTTTTGACAGTCGGCTTAAAAGCAACAAGATGGCTGGTTGCCGAGCTGGTGGTATTTGAGTATTGTGAAGCATTGTGTAGTGAAAGCAAAGGGCATGCAGTCTTTGGTTAAAAAAAAAAAAAAAAAGCCTTCACTAGTTTTAAAAGTGTTAACATCTCAAATTAGAGCCTCTTCTTTTTAAAGAGGGAGGTCACAATAATCCAAGAGCATCTTAATAGCCAGGTTAAAGCATTTTGCAGTTAAAATCAGTTTTATTTCAGAGTTTAAGAGGCGCTTTATGAGGCAAGAAACAAAAACTTGCAGTACCCGCACAGCTATTATATGTCATCCCTTTATTTTCCACTCCCTGTCTCCACTTCTGCATATTAACTACGACCGATAAAAGCCCATCAGAAACAAGATAATGGGCTCATTAATACTAGCAAGTTGATTACACATGTTGCCCATTTGTCAGCTCTGTGATGCCGCGGCTTTTTAATGTGATACATTACTAAAATTGAAACCAGCCAATGGCTAAACCCTCTCTCCCTTTGCCTTACTCTAACGCATACAAGCACGCAGAGTAAACGGCATCTTGCAATTGAGTGCTGTAAAAACGGTGTCACAACCGATTTGTCCTTGGCCCCCACAATGCTAGCTAACCAGTCCAGAGGCTCGTGGATATAAACAAGCCTCAGGTCTGTAGAAGTGAACGTTAATCTCATCTGACAGTTTGCCTGCACCGGTTGTAAATCTTTGTCACAAATACTTACATTCAGTACCAAACACTAAACCAAAAGAACTAGACAACCTGTATGATAAATACTGAAGAAGAGCTAATAGTTTACAAAACAGCCCTCTGTGGTATAATTGTGTGAATGTTTATGAAGCATTCACTCTATTGTGATCTATGTTTTTCAGCATCTTTCTCATTCCATCATTTTTGTGCCATTTCAACAAATCATATATCAAGATGTTCAGCTCGTCCAGGAGAAGGGTTAATACAATTTTTTGGCATTGGTGCAGCTTTACCTTTTTGATATATTTAGCCTTTTCTGCCACTTTTTGTTCTTCTAGAAAATGAATCGAGCTAAGTTTACATCCTTCAAATCTTTAGATCTGTTAAAACCTTTTCCTGCTCCTTTCACATTTTGTTCTGGTTCAGCTTCCTTCTGCATTTTTTCAGCTACTTTCAGCTGTTTTTTTTCAGCTGTTTTGTGCTCCTTTCAGATTCTTTCTGCTAACAACATTCTTGTGCTTCTTCCAACTTCTTTCTGCCGATTTCAACTTGTTATGCTCCTTTCAGCTTATTTATGCAAGTTTCAGCTTTTCTACTATTTAGCTGTTTTTATGCTTGTTTTATTTTTTCAGCTAATTCCACATTTTTTGCACTTATTTCAACATTTTTCAGCCTAATTCAGCAAAAATGTGCTCTCTCAACTTCCTTCTTATAATTTAAGCTTCTTTCAGCTTTTTAGCTACTTTTCAGCATTCTTTTGTTGTTGTTTTTGTTAGTTTTTTAGCTAATTTTGTCTTTTTTCTGATGATTTCCACTTTTTGTGCTCATTTCTGCTTCTTTCAGCCAAAATGGATACATTTGTGTTCTCTTCACTTCCTTCTGATAATTTAAGCTTCTTTCTACCTTTTCAGCATTTTTAAAATAATCTTAGCTTTTAGAGCTAATTTTATCATTTCTGTGCTCATTTCTGTTTATTCAAACCAAATTCAGCAAATGTATGTTCTTTTTACTTTCTTCTGCTAACTTAAGCTTGTTCTTCCATTTCAGTTACATTTCAGCATGTTTTAGCTAATTTCAGCTGTTTTTCAGCAAGTTCTTCAGGAATAAACATTCACACTGCATTTTCGTAGGAAATGCAATTTCTTTATTTAGTCTTAATGGTACTATTTATTGTTTGCCTCATGCTAAAGTAAAAAAAAAAAAATGCAAACAATTATATTATGCTGCAAGTCTGGAGAAACCCAGCTTAGAGAGCACTAATTTACTTTACATTATCTGCCCCTGTAATAATAGCAAAAGTAAGAATCCTATTTGCTATTGTAACCATCATTTGGAAGCACTGAGTGCAAAAATATTAAGAAAGCGTTACCAATCATCTGGAAATTCTCCTTCATAATTACAAGAAAAATCACCTCCTCTATTACTGCTCATCCATGTTGCTAATGCAACGATGCTGAAGGAGAGGAAATGTGATTAAGTCAACATGGCAAATCGTTGCTCTATTCTTTCAGTTGCATAAAATGAAAGAGAAGAGACTGCTTCACATGGCTTCCCTAATGAAAATGTGATCATATGAAAAGGCGAAGCAGTGAAATATAATATTATAGGCAAAAGAAATTATTGAGATTAAATCAAGGAGAGTTGAACAGTACGTGCTTTGAACCGGATAGTGATTTAATATGTTGTGGTGAAAATTTAAAGGTTTTAATAAGATGTCATGAGAAATTATCAGTGTATGAAAACTGGAAGAAAACCGGTCTTTGGTTTGTCCAAAAAAAGAAAAAACATTAACATTAGCAGGCAGTCACTGAACATGTTTAAATCAAAGCAACTCAAACGTTAGCATTAAGGTGAATGGTTTTACAACCCTATAATTTAATGAATGGGTTAGCAGAAAAGCCACACGCATGAAAAAGAAAAATAACTACGTATTGTGGCTGCAGAATCACTGATTTGCCAACTATGCAGCCATGAACATGTAGTCTAAATGTCTTCTTCACGGTCCCAAATGTGGCTCACAACTATAAAAGAACAGTTCAGCGCTTTTAAAGTAAAAAGTTATGAACAATTAACATCTTACCGGTTGTAGATATCTCTTTGAACAACCTCAGATTGGAGAAAAAAATAAACTCTGACCAGATCTATGCTAGTCCAGGCAGGGTCAACATCAAACACAATTATTAATGTCAAGTTCCATGGTTATTTGTGAACTGAAGCAGCAGCAGCTGGCTGTAGCACTTCCAGTGTATGCTGGGGACATTTTCAGTAGTGAAATGCAAAACTGAGATTTGTGAAAATGTTCATAAATAAACTTTGTATGAACTGCAAGTACATTGTGAAGTTTAAAGTTGCTTTTAGATGGTAGCAATCTATTTATGGTCTTGGATATGATTAGTCATCAGCTCATGAAAATGTTCCTCTACACTGAGGTAATTTACCAAGCTATCTACAACAGGTAAGATACTGTTTACAATCGTTCCAAAGAACTTCAATTTAAAAGCTCTGAACCATCGCTTTAAGTCAAATCTACGCTAAGTTTGTGTAAATGACATTACTACTCGCTTTAAAATGTTAATATAGTGCTTTTTCATCAATTTCTTCAATTAAATCGAACATTTAGGATTTAAAGCATGGCAGATAATATTTGTCTTTGCATGCTTCAGGAAAGATGAAGATCTTTGAGTGCAACGTTCAGATCTATTCATCCAAACAAACAACATGCAATGTCACTTTAAAAGCAAAAAACATATATAGTGTTTGATGCAAACATTTTAATAGAGACAAAAAAGCAGTATTTTTTATGTCTCTTTCACTTGACTTTGTTTAAATTTGTTTTCCAAAGCAGTGCGATTTTGTTGCTTAACATGAATGTGGGGAACATTCAGATTAATGGTTGATTGTTCTTGTTTAAATGTCTTTGTGCATAAAACAAACAAGCCCTGAAATCTCCAGTGAGGCAGACTGTGTGCACCTTCAGACACTTGGCAAGAAACAAAAAGGAACGAATCTGAACATCGGGCCATCCTTTAAACATGGCTTTTATCAGACACTGCTTTCCAATTTATTTAAAATGTCTTCTCTTCGCAGGGCTATTGGGAAAAAAACAAAGAGGATAAAAAAAATACTGCATTATTCTCCCCTGTGGTTAAAAATGAGTGTGAAAAAAAACATTCAACCCACAAACACAATGGCAGAAACAAAGGATGCATTTTCCATTCTCACGTTTTGTTCTTTCTTTTCTGATATTTTGTCACCATGTCTTGCAAACTGCCAGAAGTGAAGATGACACCAAAAAGGGAACGAGAGGAGAAAAAAAAAAGGAAAAACAGTGAAGGTGATACTGACAAAAATAACAGAGGACAAAATAACATAACACCAAGTAAAACATTTTACACAAATAAATACCCGTCCATTGTTCTGTGTAATGTTAAATCAACTGCCTGCTCAGACAGAGCCGCTGTGTGTTGTTGTGTGATGTCTGTATTATAGCAGCCGCTGTTTACCTCCCTGGGTTCAGAGCGAGCATAACCCTGAACCCCACTGTAAAGAGGGAGGCAGAAATCAAACAAGAAAAACCAGCAAAGAGGCGAGGGATCAGAGGCAGGAGGCTGAATTCAACCATTTGGGAGGCTGACAAAAAGAGTATGAGTCATTCAACACAAAAGGGTTAGAGACGTATGTAGGAATGATTGGCACCCCATTTGGAAAAGTAGCAGGTCTTGTTGGGTTTTTTTTTTTAAGCTACACTGCAAGAGCCCCCCAAAAAAATCATTACAGGATCTACTGAAGCAAACAGAAGTGATATTTATACAGTTTGACTTGGCACAGCATGAAAAGCGCTGTTGGAATTAAAAATATTAATGATGGCTCGGTTCCTTTTGGCATCTCGGTAAACTGTAGAAGTGAACCTGCATGTGCATGTGCGGGGTCTCCTTAAAGTGGAATAAAAACGTCATTAACACACTGTGTTGTCAATTCAAATTGTCAGCTGTGAAAACTCCGTCCTCCATTCTTTCTGGAAAGTGCTAAAGCTGTTCTGTACCTGCTGATTAAGTCGTCGTTGTCATCGCTCGCCATCTCGTCCTCGATGGCAGCCTGCAGGTCCCCTATCCTCTTAAAGGCCAGCTTAAGGTCCCCTTGTAAGCTCTGATTTGCTGCCTCTAAGCTCTCAATGTCCATTTCCTGGTGAATGAACGACACCACGGTTACCTAAGCTAACTTAATCGTAGATGAGGTCACTCAGCACCTGAACTCTTACCAGTTCGTGCTTCTTCCGGCTTGCCTCCGCCTCCTTCTTGGACAGCTCTGCCATCTCTTCCTTTACGTCCCTCATCTGCCTCTGCATGCGCTTGTTCTGCTCTTTCTCTCGGTTTTCTGCAGTGATGTGTTGGTTTTTCTCCTCGGTCAACTTCTCCAGATTCTCCTTTAGACGACTCACCATACTCTGCAGACAGGAATTAGTGAAGCGTATCCTTATAGCAAGCTGTTTTAACATTTCTCAGCTTGACTAATGAAAATATGTAAAATATATTAGCAATGTAATGTTGCCAATGTGTAATCATATTTGCAGGGTCCAACATTTTAGTCAAGATTTCCTCTTCCATGACAGATCTGTAATTCAGGTTAAACCAACATGAGTAAAAGCTTAACATTGTTCTATAAGACCAGAAAAGCCTTTTTTGTGTTAGCAAATGCAGAAATGCTTTCTGTGTATGCAGCTGCTGTTGTACACAGCTTGTTGTGCTCTGCAGCAACACAACAGTGTCAGTAGTTTCAGTCATCCAAAACATTGCTGCATCGTGTCTTAACTTAAATTTCAAAACATTCAAACACACATTTTCAGAGGGTATAAATAAAAGTTGAAGAAATATGAAATGCCATTTTAGTTAGCACTGATCCAAATTGTGATTATTGTTAAGCACTTTGGTAACAGTTGCTGTGATGCAGTATGAACATATACTGATATATATATTCATAAATTAAACGGATTCTTTCATTTTTCTGGACTGTATAATAATGTGCATTGAATTTAGAAATGTAACGTGAGACGTTAATTATCTTTGACTCACCAACGACAGTGGGTCATTTATTAACAGAATCAAAGTTTAACACATCACACATTTACATTAATTGGCAAAATATGGAAAATAACAACATGGCTAATTTTGGCAAGCTGTACAATTTTGATTAACCACACGGCGGTGGTCAGAAAACTTTACACAGACATTTCTAAAAAATATCTGGATTAATTTCTACTTGATAGAAGAATTTTAAAGATGGAAAGATGAAGTTTAGAGGGAGAAAAAGATGGATGAGGGAGAATGTTTGTGTCACCATCAGAACGGCACTCTCCGGGTTTTCCCAACTTCTTCCCCAGTACACTTAGGTGGTATAAATCAACTCTTTTACCTGGAGATGTCTCCCTGGTACCAGGTTCCATTTAACGCACCCTTTCAGCATCTCCGTAGGAACAGCTGTGAATCGTCCGAAGTAGTGACGTTACTTGTTCGACACAAATTCACCTCACGAGTGGACTTCACATGAGTGGAGTCCGTCAGAGTTCCACTCAGAGGTGGAAGATGTTATAATCCCATAAGACTCGGAAGAGCTCTGTGGTCATGTCAGGATTTTCCTGTTTCCCAGCACGGGAGCTGCAACGACTGAAGCCGGAGCCTGAAGCGACTGGACTTCTGCAAACTCTCCACCCGACTCTTTTGAGGGGATGCACAATATTATCAGCATGGTATCGGTATCGGCTGATATTAGCGATAAAGTTAAATATCAGACATTGGCAATTCCATCAAAATAACTCACCGATATAAAAGGATTCTGTTTTAAGTTCTATTATTGCACTACTAGTTATGCACTTTTCACTTGTCGCTTGTGAACAGGTTGAGTTTAGATTTGTGAAAATGTATAATTTGCACAGTTTGAGTGTTGTCATTGTGTTAGAGAGAATAAATGTCATGAATAAACTGGACATTAAACATAATCCAAGTTGAAGTGTTACATCATTTTTGGTCCTCTTTTTTGGTAGCAGGTCAAATTGACAAAAACCATGTAGAATAATGTAGTATTTTATTACTAGAGCACAGAAAGCTATGTAGTCTATGTATGTTGGTTTAGGAAATAAAATATTAATATTGGTATCGGTTATCGGACAAATAACTTTTAACATATTGGCATATCGGATATCGGCCAAAAATCCAATATTGTGCATCCCTAGTTTTAAATGTGCTTTATAAATAAATTTGACTTGACAAATGAATTTTAGCTTACACTTTGCACTAATTAAAGCTTAATTCAGGTTTAAAAGTAGGATTCCTTTAGGGAATGTGTATCATCCATTACATCAGAGGCTTCAGTTTGAAACAAAAATGTTGTGCAGTCTGTTAGCGCACAATGTGTTGACGACCCTCAGTTACTACCACACCAAAATTAAGCTCAATATCTGTAAAACTGATGAAGTTATAACCATTTTGTTGTTCGCTAAGGTTAATTAGCTGTAGCAGCATTTTGAATATGGTCGACTCCAGAAGTAAACAATCTGTAAATGAATATCCTGTCATTACTTTGTAAGAGTTTAATTAAAATTCATTCGCTGGTTCGTGAAACATGTTGTATTTTGCCAAAATACAAACTTTATCGCCAAACTTTTATGGCAGTGGGTGATAAAATATTTACTTATTTTAAAAAATAACAAATAAAGATTACTAAGTCTTCAGTATAACCAACACCAAATGTTCAAATAATTTTATCTGTTTGTTCTTAAAATAACCCTGCAACATGCTCATGCACATATAAAATATTGATACTCTGATAAATATCCTATAAAAGAGAAAATTATATTTAAAAGTCATATTTTCTAAAAAGGAGATGATTGTTTACAAAAAAAAGAACCATTCTTAAGCTAAACCTGTCATTGTTTTCCAAAATAAAGGCCTAAAATGTATTTAGCTGCTTTAGCTACATTCCCACTCCTACATTTGTATCAACAATACTGACAAAAACTAACCAAACATATGGGTTGTCTGCTTTTATCCTAATTCTGATTTTTGTTTTATAAACATTTTTATGGTCTCATCCAACTCGTGTTCTTGAAAAATAAATCTCAAAGAGGTGATACTCAGTGAAACATTGTGTGAACTTCAAGATGAAAAAATAAGAAATTAAACTATCATTAAAACAAGAGATTACTTTTAAGTTTTAAAGTCAAACCACATTTGAATTGCCATTGCTGAACACTGGTGCTTTACAGAAATGTTTAGTGGGATTTACTGTATATTTTAAATATGAACAGCATTGAGAAGGAAATTGTTTTGATCAGAATTAAATATATAATTTAAATATGAATCAATGTCGTTTTTTCTCTTTCTCAAGCAAAACCTCAGAGATACACTATGCACTCACTTTACATTTCAATCTTATCAATCTAGACTATTAAATGGCCATATTTAAAGAATTCATATTACATTTTTAAAATTGCATTGTGTGTTACCAACAACGTATTTTCACCTCTAAGCGTTTGATCTGCGTCCTCTCATACTCCAGCTTGGTCTCCAGCTCTCGGATTTTGGCTTCCTGGCGGCTCACAAGGGATTTCTCCACCATGGACTGTTCCTGGAACTCCAACTGGCTCTGTAGTGAATGGAGCTGGAAGAATATCACACACCCCACACAGACACACACACGCACACAGTCAGTTACTCACCAAACTCCTCTTACTTTACCTTTTTCCCTCCCACTTCGTCTCTTTTGTGTGAAGAACAAACCTCAAGAGGAAGCGTTGATGTTGTGTGTGTGTGTGCACTTAAAATAAATTACTGTTTACTTTTGCACCCATTTTGAGTTAATTTATTCTGTCTTGGTAAATCTAAATAAGGTGCATCCAGTCTGAATAATGAGTTCAAGATAAGCCCTCATTCTACCGAAAAGGGTCAAAAAAAAAAAAAAAAAGGCGGTTGTGGTTCAGGCTGAGTAACAGCGAGTCACGGTAATTTCACAGGCTTTGAAAAATGCTTCAGCTTCATGCAAAGCACGTTTGTTCTATCTAAGTCCTTTTTTTTGTCTTTCTCCGTGACTGATAAAAGAAAGATAGATACGTCACAATAAAACTGGCCTGAAAGGCTGCAGGGCACCTAATGAGGGACTTCTGCATCCGAGACAAGGAGGATTTGGTAGTTCTCCTTTGATATTACTAAAGCAGCCAGATTTCCCTTCAACTGGGAATGAGATAACCACTTCAAGGTCAGATGCTTTAGATAACAATCAGTGCCTACTCTGGCACGCTTTAACAGTGGCTTGCAGCCTGCTGTGTATCTCAAGTGTAGCCAGAAATATTCTGATTGCTGAGCATGGAGAGACTTCGGCACACTTCTATTTCAACAAAACAGAAGAATGATGTGATGTTCGGGAGAAGCAAGAGCTCAGATCTATGCTTTGAGCCGCACGCTGTTTACAGCAGATGGTTGTATTTGTTTAATCCACTGCATCTCATCAGCTATACCGGCTTTATCCTTTACAGAGTAGCAGGAAGCTGAGTCCTACTTCAGCACGTATTGGATAAGAGGCTGGAACAATGGTTCATCTCGGGGCTAACACAGACAGAAAGACAGCCATGCAAGAAGACCCCTTATGGGATTTTTGAGCCTTTTGAAATGGGTATCTGTGGAAATGTGAACATATATATCTTACTTGTTGTAAAGAAAGATTTTTGAACTAGCTCAGTTTATAGAAATAGAGTTAGTCTGACAGGACTAAAACACTCAAACACGTCCAAGTCTAAAGTAGACTGCTGCAGTCTAAAAACAGCTTTAATCTCCAAAATATTTTAGCGGCTCATATGAAAGATATTTCATGAACCAGACATTGGCAAAATGTGTCCCAGGGGCCAAAAGTGGCCCTTGGACAATCTCCATTTGGTCCCAAAATTTTTTTATTGAAAAGAAAACAACTTTTTGGCTGTGTATGGTTCTAGAATTGCACCGCTCGGGGTGGCTACATGTTGGAGCAGCTCTGTTACCTTCATTCTGAGATTTTGCTTTTGAAAACTTTAATTCCTTTTTTTCTGGACAAAAATCACTTTTTCTTTTCTTTTTTTTTTGGGGGGGGGGGGGGGGGAATGATTGTTTCCTTTGGTATCGGATGCTGTGCAGCTGGAAGGGTTTTTACTGAAACTCTTTTAGTTTTGGACATTTGTTATGATGCGTAACCATGACAACAAGGTGTTTGTTTGTTTTTTTTTATAACTGGGAGCAGCTGATTAACATCTCAAAAGCACAAATTCAACTTCAACCCCAAATCTCAAATGAGTTGAAAAGGAGGCACCATTGATGCATTCCTGTCTCCCTGCCGGCTGTGCTTGAGTGCCTGAACACTGAGATCCTGGAAATGGCAGGACATGCAGCTCGTGACTGCAGAAGGATGGGATCATCCCCTGACACCTGCAGCTTGCTTTTTTTTTTTTTCCCCTTGTCCTGTCCGGCATTGTGACACTCAGAATTATTGTCTGAGTGTCAAGGTGATGTCCAACAGATTTACTTTCACAAGCAGAGTATTATGGCTGGCCTTAATGCTCCACTTGATATGAAAATTAAATTTTATAAGAATTTGCTTTGGGCTTGTTTCAGATGTAATGGACATGGGGATGAAAAACAAAGAAGAAAACAAAGCAGAAAAATGGGAGAAGGGTTGAAAGGTAAAGAAGGAGATAGGAATAGAGGAGCGAGAGAGGGATAATGAGAACACAAATCAACATAATTGAAGTCTGCCTCTAGACCTGCGGAAAGAAAAAAAGAAAACCGAGAAACCACAACAACAAACAACATATATAATGATACGTATAACATCATTAGAAAGTATTTTATACAGTACATGGTAATACAAGATGTATTTAGTGGCCACCACAACCCAACTGAGTGTGTATCTGATAAACACCTGAATCTAAACACCTGTGTGAGCATGCTTGTCGCTTTAAGGTTTCTCCATAAAAATGTTCAATAGTGGATGTGGGGACCCACAGACCTGTCCCCACAGGACACGACGGTAACACAGGGAAGACAAGAGCCACATACACACAGCGGTCCCCAAGCCTGGCACTCCAGGAGTCCCCCAACAGGGACGCCCACACCCCCCAGAGAGAGAAGTAAAGTGAAGCCCCCGGCAACCCCCAGCAACCACAATGCAGAAACCCCAGGAGGTAGCAGCGACGAGTCCACAGGCCCCGCCGGGAATCCGCCCCTCCAGAGTAGATCCGGCCATGGACACCAAACCCGAGTCCCGAGGTCGTACCACTCCCCCAACAGAGGCCTGACAGAGCCAGGACACCCAGGCCCCAGCAGGCAGCCATCAGGGCGGGCCCGCACACACCCCACCACCCAGCCCCAGATGCTGAGAGCCGCCAATGCACCAGCGGCAAGGGGGCCCACCACCGGAGGGGAGCACGACAGGGGGAAGTAGACCCCACATTAAATGGGGGGCCCAAATTGATCCAAGAGAGGAGACCACCTAAAACCCAACCCGAGACATAAACAGGCACACAGAGACCGCGTCGGGCCGTCTATGTGCCCCACCCGCCCGACAGCAACCGCAAACCGGCCCCAGGCTGGGGGCCAGAGCAGCAGCTGAGGAAGGTCGGCACCTGCAGCTTTCTGTCCTCAGCAACAAGCAGCTCAGCAAGCTGCAGGGAGGAGTGGCCATCTAACTGGGAGGAGTTTTAACCGGCATTCGGGCGGTCCTGCAGCCCAGAGGAACCAAGAGACCAGCCGAGTCTGGGTGGACAGATCAGATGGCATCTGTGGACAATTTCTTCAGAGCTGCTGTGGGTCAGACCTTTACAAGAGATCCTTCCTGCCCACAGCCATCAGTATCGATAACATCTTAATGAAACAAGGATGATGAGCTACAACAACATTTAATTTCCCTTTGGGATTAATAAAGTATTTTTTAATTGAATTGAATTTTAAACAAGTTGATGAAAACCTGCATTCTATCAATGAAACTTAAGGAAGTTTAAATTAACAATCTTGGACAAAAATATAAAAAAAATACTTTGGATTAGAATAGACTAAAACATTTTTTTTTTTAGTTGTAAAATGTGTTGAATGACTACAGCAGAGTTGATACACAATACATTACTACTTTCAAACTAAACTCCAATTCAGTGACCCAGAAAAAAAAAATCCATTTTGCAAACCAACACATCAACAAAGTAAATGGCTACGCATTATGATGTGACACACCTAAAGGTTATTCTCTGAACAAATGGTACTCTGTTAGAAAAACATGATGAAAGCTCTATTATAAAAACAGGCCTAACTCAGATGCATTAACCTTTTTACCACGTGAATCTACATTTATACAAAACCATTAGCTGACACCTCGCAGGATACGATAAATTAAGCAATCAGCTCAAAAGTAGGCAAAATCAGATTTAAAAAATGCTGCTAAATGATTCAAATATAATGGGGTTTTTTTAAGGAGTTATAAGCCAGTGGTGAATTGAGCTGCATGAAAGCAAGAAAGACAGTCTGTAGTGGAAACAGCAGCTTTTGTGACATTTTGTACAAAAACATGTTCTAGCTCTGACCTATATGTTCGTGTCAGCATGCTAAAAAGCTCCCAGTGACAATGTTAACGTGCTGATGTGCAGCCAGAAAAATTTGACCCAATCATTACTGCCAAGCCATCTGTTGGTTGTTAAAATATTTCACTGACTAAGTGAAGATTTTGACCTGCTAGTGATGCTGAAGAAAGAGGTCAGAGGATGACTAACGTCAGCAGGCTTTTTATCCTCTGACTGATAATCTACATGGAGGCTAAATAGTCTTGGTCAGAAAATTAAATCCAGATTAAAGAGGGGTGATAACATCATGTTAACAATTTAAGTATGCAAGACTGTCACTAATGAAAATTTGACGTGATGGTTTTAAAATTTCGATTTTTTATTTTTTTTAATTGCACATGATAAAGTTAGCACAAAAATTAAAGAAATTTGTGTTTGGGATTTGTTTTCTCTCTTTGTTGTAGCAATAGTTCTTGGCAATAAATCTTATATAGCTGGCGAGACTGTTTCCCTTCAAATGGTCACATTTGTAAGGAAAATGCATTTGTGAGTTGAGCAGCAGAGATGTGGTTGAAAATCTTCATGCCATCGTCAGATCTTCTCTGTCAATGCAAAATCATTTTGATACGACTCTTGTGTGACTCTGTCATTTATTGGGTTACCCGCTTCTTCCTTTTCAGGTCACGGGGGTCACTGTTGCCCATGTGGAAGAACCATACACAGCCAACTACTAAATGAGGTTTTTCCTACTCTTGGCCCTTCTATTCTCGCTATTGTGAATAGCAGTTTATTATCCTCAGGTGTGGTGGCAAAAAACCTTTAAACATGCGGCTGTTCAACTTCTGCTGAAAAAACCTAACCTCGACCCATCAATCGTATCCAACTACAGGCCTGTCTCCGTTCTCTGAGGTCTGCAGACCAGTTGCTTCTCTCAGTTCCAGTAACCCGTCTTAAGCGCAGAGGTGACAGGGCCTTCTCTGTCGCAGGCCCTAGACTATGGAATGAGTTACCTCTACCTGTCAGACAGGCCCCTTCCCTCACTGTTTTTAAATCACACTTAAAAACCTACACTATTCCCTGGCTTTCAACACTGTATGATCTGTTGCTGAACCTGTATGCATCACACTGTGCTAATCATTATGTTATTATCCATTACTTTGTTTCTATATTTAGATTTTACATTATGTTATGTGTTGCTGTGTGCTTTGTCTGTTTGTTTCTGTGTGTACAGCACTTTGGTTGGCCTTGTTGCTTTTTAAAGTGCTCTATAAATAAAATGGTATGATATGGTAAAACAAACTGACACATCCTCCTGATGCTTCTCACCAGCTTGGGTACCCACTACTGTGGGATAGCATCCCATTCTGAAGTTGCCTGATGCCACAGGCTATTTCCAGATCAGTCACAACAGAAGACATTCAGATACCTGTCAGTGTTTGGGGTCTCAGAAGTTCAAAACAAGAGGCAATAGCAGAGTAAACTGTTTGGCATTGGAAGAAGATCTGCTAAGTTTTCTATGAGCATAACCCATAATTTCAACTCTGCTTATACACCCACAAATTACTTTCTTTTTTTTTTTTTACAAATGTAGCATAATTTAAGGGGCAATATACATGTTTTCCATAGGATAAGCTTTATTTATTTATTGATGCTGATTATCCATGCAGCTGATCCTCAACTTACCTGTGCTGCTGATTATCCATGCTGCTAATAACTTGCCTCTAAACTGCTAAATTCATGCCCATCTGCTCACTACAGACTCACGTTTAATATACTGTATTATTTTACATTATTATTGTTTAGTTTATATTTTAGATCCTTATATACTGGTTCTTTTTATAATTTACATTTTTGCTATTTTGGGGCATAACTGGGATCTTGAGTACATAATTTTGTTCCACCTCATGTACCACGTGATGCGAACGACAATAAAGAGCCTTAAACCTTTATTTCTAAGACATATTTTTAAAACAAAAATATAGTTGACCAAGTACAAATTTTCTTCTTTTTGTTCTATCTTTATGTTCAGCACTTTAGTGGCTGAAGCAGCATATCAAACTTGAATTTATTCCCACAAGTGAGATAACTGTGTGTGGAATAAAATTTTAAAAAATTCCAAATGCAGTTTTCTGTGCATTTTGTGGAAGAACTGACATGTGATAACAGATTGTCACCACTTTTAATCTCATCTGTCATTTAAATTTGGTGCAATTTGATGTATTTAATGTTTTGTATTTTTGATTTACCTAAATAATTGACATATTTTGTTCTATTTGTAGTGAACTAAGATTTACATTAAATAAATAAATAATATGAAACACTTTTTTTTTTCACTGAAATGGGGATTGGACTGCATCCACTGGTTAGCAATAATGCCTCACAGCAAGAAGGTTGCAGGTTCAAATCTCAGTTGGGGACTTTCTGTGTGGAGTGTGCATGTTTTCACTGTGCATGCGAGGTTTTATCCAGTTTCCTCTCACAGTCCAAAACATGTGCGTGAGATTAAACAGAGCTTCTAAATTGCCCTCAGGTGTGAGTGTGCACGTGCACTGCAAGTCTGTGCTGAGCCTGTGATGGACTGACGACCCTGAACAGCATAAAAAATATTTGACAGATGAAATAATAACATTATTTTACTATTTTTTCTTCTAAGTTGCACTTTCCTGCAAAAAACTATCACTACAAGAAGCATTGCACCCAACCTAACATACAGCTTCAGAAATGTAACATTTTAAATGTGAATCAATTGAAAAAGTACAAAAATGCTTCTGTATGTACATTACAGTGCACAACAATTGACGGCCCACTGGTTTTCACAAAATAGCAGTTTGACATTTAATAAATGACACAGTTGTGAACGACTGCTGAAAACAGCTTTTTTCAGGTGCATTCATTGCTTCCCAGTGGGTTGGAATAGTCACAGTACTAAGGTTTTCTATGTTACGTACCGGTTCCCAATTGTCACAATTCATTTAAATAAACTGCTTTTGTGTTATTAAATTAAAATCCCGGAAAACATACAGAGAAGTGGTGGGTCCATGCTGATAAAAAAGTCTTGGTCTGCTGAATTTGCCTGCCTATACATGTGAAACCAAGAAGGAAAAGAACATTTTTTTCCTCCTTGACTATAAATTTTTTGCAGATTTGTACTATTTATATGTAGATTGTGTGCAATTCTGAGAAGAAAGCTACCACAGAAACCCAGCATTTTTGGTCACAATAATCAAGGAAAACGTGTGAAAAGCTGAGGGCTAATCAGAGAGAAGTGTGGAGACAGCAGACAGGCTCCCAGGAGGCAGCTGTGCAGCTTGTGAACACTTCTCTGTACTGTACCTTTTCTTGGATCTCCTGCTTCTCTTTTGTGGCTTCTTCCAGCTGGGCCTGCAGGTCACTGATCTGGCCCAAGTCCCTGGCAGACTATCACATGGACAGACACATAAAAACAATAGTCAAAGGATCACTATACTGTTTTATTTGTGTACAAAATAAAAAACACCAACTCAAACTGTTTAGGTATACAGTAGTTCCTCGCTACTTTGCAGTTCGTTTATCACGAAATCACTATCGTGGTTTTTCAAAATAAGATTGTACATAACACACAATTGGCTGACTGATAGATGAGCAGCATGATAGGCGTGGAATTTTTATTTAAAATAAATTATTTGCAATTATTTAGCACCTGCTGCACCTCTATGCAGTCCACACTGCAAGAGAAGCTTCCTCCTGCTGCTGATCAGCTGATCTCCATGCAGAGCAAAAAAAGTGGGCGTGGCCAAGAGCGCTTGCAGGAGGGGAGAGCAGCGGAGGAAGGGAGCTGAAATCATGACATTCTGTGCTTTAGAGTTCAGAAACATTGTTTAGAATATTGCAAGAGTGTGGGAAGGGTTTAAAACACCTTTATATATATATATTTATATATATATAACTACTACTTACTACTTGTACTACTACTCCTACTTTGTGGTTTTTCACTTATCGCGGGGCTTCAGTACGGATCCCCCCCGTGTTAAACAAGGGACTACTGTATTTTAATCATCTGTGCAGAAAATGACGGACAATAAAAAAGGCCTAGCATTTCCTTGAAGGAATTCACATCACCTGCTGCCTAACAATGCTTTCCTGAGATGAACTCCTTAGTTTAAGGATTCAAGATGCTCCTCATGGTGAGTTTTACACTTGGACCATGTTGTGTTTTCTAAGGTCAGTTGGCTGTGAGTGTATCTTTACTTTGATTTGCTCCAAAACTTTTACAGTTGTAGAGGTACATGCAATGATTTTTTTCCTGAAAGCTTCATTAAACTTTGGCTAGTGGTACATGACATACTTTGATAAAAACACCAAGTTGACAAAATAAGAGTTGGCCAAATTTGGAAAAAAACAAATCTGGTGCAATCAGTGCTCAACATATGTTAGGAATTATCTCAGCTAAACTATTTTTTTTAAAGCAATAGTTGTACAACTGACTGAATTGTATCCATTTTTGTGTTTTTTAAGGTTAGTTGTCTGTGGAAGCCATCTTGGAGTGGCTTGACCCCAAAAGGTATTCAGCTGTAGAGGGACATCGACTGATCACTTCCTGAGAGTTTTATTAATATAAGTCAAGAGGTTCATGAGAAATTTTGCTAAAAGACAGACAAAAAAACGCAAAAATATGCATACACACTTAGATGAGCAAAAACATAGTCACGCCTGGCAATAATTAAGAGTTTAATTTTCTTTATGGAATAAAACAGGTGGGTGAGCAGCTCCACAGCTTGAGCTACCTGTGCAACAGCAGCTTTGTGTTTCTTCATCAGCTCATTCAGGTCTTCCTGATCCTCCTCCATCCGAGATTGCACGTCGTTCTTCTCTCTCTGTAGACGGCTGACCTGCTCCTCCAACTAAGTGACAAACAGAGAAGGAAACACATAGCTCAGTACAGAATGACAGGGTTTATTTATGAGCTGCTGAATATAATAAACGATCATTAGCTGGCCGGGCCTGTGGAAACACTGGAATTTCATCTAATGGCACTGAAACACAGTCTGGACAGGAGCTCTGGTTGGAGGATGACACCAATTGGAGCTAATCAATTGGCTCATTTAGGCATGTGAAAGTGCAGCGAGTGCAGTGTACTAGCGATGTACTGAGTTCATCATCTGTGTTCAGAGGCTAAACGCCGGCACTCGATGTGCATTCTCTAATCTCAGACATTTACAGGATCCTCCCTCGCCATAAATGTGGCAATTAAAAACTAAAACACAAGCACGCAGCACACTGTATGCCATCCCAAGAGACACAAATATCTGCAGTCTATGAGTCTAAAATGTAGGCAGAACTCTCGGGAGACAGCTATTAATGAGCAAACTGAGGGGGAAGAAAAAAAAAAAAAACATTCGATAAAGCTCATTTATCCATTAGAGCAAAAACGTTGAAATCAGACATGTGCCAAAGGGCGTTTATTATTTTAATATCCCAGCTTGGCTTGATGGGTGCATATTAATGAGAATCCCGCTGCATTTTGAAGAGAGAATATTTGATATGCACAGGCCCTTAAGTAATCACACATTGTTGTTTCTGCTTTTACTTTCTCATTAAAAGAAGAGTTTTGAAACAAACTAAGCCAACAGAGCTCTGGTGTTTATTGCCATTTTAATGCAGACACCGATTGTTAAATTACAGATAAATGTGATGAAAAATACATCGTGTGTTGGGGCATACTAGACCTGTTACTATCACTTTGTTTCCTTCTGCTCAGCATTGCCGGTTGCACGTCCATGATGCATTCTAATCAGATGTGAAACTCACCTGCATTTTATTTTTGACCACATCCTCCATTTGGATATGCAGGTCTTCGATTTCAATCTCCATGCCCTTCCGAGCTTTCACCGCTGTGGCACATGTGAACTCTGACTCCTCCAGCTGAGAGACGCAGATGGAAAGAGGCAGGCAGGATGGGAAGGACAAACATTAGTGGGTCAAGATGAAGGATTATTACCGGACTCGCCTGATGATGTTTCATCTGCTCTTTAGATTTTTTTGGTATGCAATGCCACTCATTACCAGACTACAGTACTAGTGTAAGGCAATTGTGTCCCTGGATTACGTACTTGATTTTTGAGCTGGGCAATCTCCCTTTTGCTGGGGGCGTTGCTCTTCAGGTGGTCAAGCATAATTTGTGCATCAGCCAGAAGGACTTTGGTCCTCTTTAAGTCTTTTTTCAACCTCTTCTCAGTCTCCACATCCCTCTGGCTCACCTGAATGACAAACCACTCCTCTGCAGTCATCACTATTACACATACAACCATCTACCCTCCTTTAAAACTAACACTGCCTTTCCACACTCAAAAGCATTTTATTTCCAATCAGTGGAAGTGGCCCACACCAAATCACACACTTAACAGCGCTGACAGAGAGAAGAGGGAGTCAAGGAAGTACCTGGTCCTGAGTAATCAGAAGTTTGGACTCCAGCTCTCTTCTGTCACGCAGGACCTTCTGCTTGTCTTCATACTCCTCCTCCAGCTGAATCTCCATCTGCTTCAGCTGCAGGACACATATAAAGACATAGATGTTTTAAATGCAAACAATAAATTCCGAACTTATTTTGAAGGAACGCCTGTCATGCGAGTGATTTAAACTATTTTTGGATACGGTATAAACTTATGCTAAATTTTATGTTGTGAATATAAATTTGACCAATTATGCACTCCTTATCATTGTATAATTCATAATATCACACCATTTTGTAATTTTTTTTAATACATTACTTTTGTATAAAGCACTTTATTTTAAAACAGAGCTTAACAAGTGGTACACAATGTTTCCCGTCACAGGAGGACGTGAATAGTGAATATTTGTAGTTTTTGAAACAAGTGATTTTTCTGGGTTGGAATTGAACAAGGAATGCAAGTAAACCTTAAAACGTTTGGTGCAAGATATTCAAGTGGGTATGAATTACACAGCATGTAAGAACACTGTAAACCTACATATACATACTGTAAAAGATAATGAGTACTCGTCCAAGCACTGAACCCTGAGGAACTCCATGACTAACTTTTGTGTATGAAAAAGATTCATCACTTACATTTACAAATTGGAATCTATCAGATAAATATGATTTAAACCAATTTAGAGACGTTCCTATAATTCCATTATCATATTCAAGTCTCTGTTGTAGAATATTGTGATCAACTGTATCAAATGCAGCACTGAGGTCAAACAGGACCAGTGTAGTCACCTGTCCATTATCAGAGGACATGAGAATATCATTAGCAACTTTCATCAGTGCAGATTCAGTGCTGTGGTGAGCTCTAAACCCTGACTGAAACTCTTCAAACAGATTATTTCTTTGCAGATGATCACGTAACTGACCTGCAACTATTTTCTCTAGAATGTTTAAGATGAAAGTTTGTTTAGATATAGGTTCAAAAAAGCGTTCAATACAAAAACAACTGGACTTTATTTGTAACAGAAGACGTTTCGCTCCTCATCCGAGGAGCTTTCTAAATTCAAAGAGCAGTGAGTGAGGGGTTCAGGTTATAAGGCTGAGTGAGATAAGACACACACACAAAGACATACACACATATGTAGATTGGCAGTTCACACCTAAACACCTTAACAGTAGGTCTTTGTTCATTTAATTCACAGACGAGGCCCCTCTGTTCCCATCAAGTGTGAAAACCGGCTGGGAATCTGTTTTAAAGTTGCATTATAGGTTTTTGAAAATGGAAATCTGAGGCCTCCTCCTCTGTTAAGAGACGGCTTTTCTCATTTTATATAAATTGCTTCCTTCACCCCCCTCTCAAACCATCGTGTTCTCGGTCCAAAATGTGCACATTTTGGTCCTCAAAAGAGTGTCCCTTATCTGTGAGGTGGAGGTGAACTGCTGACTTTTGTCCAGAGGAGGTGGCTCTCCTGTGTTGAGCCATGTGTCTGTGAAGAGGCTGTTTAGTTTCTCCAATGTAGAGGTCTGGACAGTCCTCGCTGCACTGGACCGCATACACTACACCACTCTGTTTGTGTATGGGTGTTTTGTCCTTAGGGTGGACCAGCCTCTGTCTGAGAGTCATGCTGGGTTTGAAATGTACTGGGATCTTGTGTTTGTTGAAGATCCTTCTGAATTTCTCTGATACTCCAGCAACATAAGGGATGACAATGTTTTTACGTCTGCTGTTGTCCTTTTTCTGTTTATTAGTATGTTTTGTAGATTTCCTCACTGACTTGACAAAAGCCCAGTTAGGATATCCACATGTTTGAAGAGCTTCTTGAATGTGTTTCTGTTCCTTTTCCTTCCCTTCTGTCTTCGTGGGGACGCGTTTGGCCCGATGTTGTAGAGTTCTGATGACAGAGAGTTTGTGTTCCAGTGGATGGTGGGAGTCAAACAGAAGATACTGGTCTGTGTGGGTTGGTTTTCTGTAAACTTCAACGTTGAGGCTGTCCTCTCTTTCCATCTGAACCAAACAGTCCAAAAAAGGCAGTTTGTTTGCGTTTGCATCCTCTCTGGTGAACTTGATGTTGTTATCAACCGAGTTAATGTGTCTGGTGAACGCTTCTATTTCCTTAGCTTGGATTTTGACCCAGGTGTCTTCCACATAACGGAACCAATGGCTTGGCGTTGTTTCCTCATAGGAGTGTAGGGCTCTCTGTTCCACTTCCTCCATGTAGAGATTGGCAACAATGGGTGACACTGGAGATCCCATGGCACAGCTGTGCTTCAGTCTGTAAAAACTGTCATTGAACTTGAAATAAGTGGTGGAGAGGCAGAGATCCAACAGGGTGCAGATCTGGTCTGGGGTGAAGTTGGTCCTGTTGATTAAGTCCTTGTCTTGTAGAAGTTGTTTTCTGTCGGTTTCTACTGCTTCAGAGATGGGTATGCATGTGAAAAGAGGTCACATCATACGATACAAGGGTTTCTCCTGGGGTTAGTTTCAAGTGTTGAACTTTGTTAGCAAAATGAATGGAGTTCTTTATGTGATGAGGTGTGTTTCCAACAAGAGGAGCTAAAATACCAGCCAGATGTTTAGCAATATTGAATGTCACTGAGTTCATGCTGCTGATGATGGGTCTGAGTGGTGTTCCTTCTTTGTGTATTTTTGGAAGTCCATAAAGACAGGGAGTGGCTTCCCCTGGGTACAATCTATAATACAAAGATCGATTGATTGTTTTCTCCTTTTCAAGTTTTTGTAGGTAATCTGTGACTTTCTTTTTGTAGGTGCTGGTTGGGTCCCTCTTCAGGGTCTCGTAGGTGTTGCTGTCGCTCAGTAGTGTAGTTATTTTTTCCCGGTAATCAGAAGTGTTGAGGACTACTGTGCATCTTCCTTTATCAGCTGGTAAAATGGTGATGTTTTGGTCCTGGCTGAGTGATGTTACAGCTTTCCTTTCCTGTGGTGTGAGGTTTGAAGGAGGCGGTTTGGCACTGGAGAGGGTTGCTGATATTTCTATTCTGAGCTGTTCTGCCTCTCCTTCCGTCAAGTTGTTGTTCCTAATCGCAAACCTCACAGAGGTTAGAGAAGGTGGGCCTGTGATCGGAAGATCGCCGGTTCAAGCCCCGGTACAGACAACATCAAAAATGTGGGTGGGGTAGGTGGAGCACCCAGACCTGCCCCACCCTCATTTATCTGCTCCTCTGGGTGTCCTAGATAGCAGCTTTCTGCTCCACACAGAGGGCTGTGGTAGCTTGGTGGTCTGTAGTCAAGAAGGGCATCCGGCGTAAAAATAACTGCCAAGTCTTCGTGCGACTTAGTTCGCTGTGGCGACCCCTAATGCAGGGAGCAACCGAAAGAAGAAGAAAAAAAAAAAAAATATATATATATATATATATATATATATATATATATATATATACACACACACACACACACAAACATGTCTATATACTGTATATTGTTTACGTACATACGTACTAGATAGTATGTACGTACGTAAACAAGCGTATGAAAGGTCACCATCTAAAATTGGGTTGTAAGTCAAAATTCAAGACAGCCACCCCTAGTGGATGCTTATATTAAATATCTATCCAGTATCTATCTATCTATTCATCTACCTTTCTTACGCCATACATAAGTAGGTACAGACGTATGTACAGACAGACAGACAGACAGACAGACAGATAGAGAGAGAGAGATAGATACTGGATAGATATTTAATATATGCATCCACTAGGGGTGGCTGTCTTGAATTTTAACTTGCAACCCAATTTAAGATGGTGACCTTTCATACGTTTAGACGCAGCCACACACCAAAATGGAAGTTGATATCTCACTTGTTTTTTATGTTATCCAGCTCACAAAATCAATGACTATAAATGGAGTCAGTCTCCCTACCATCACAGACATCTACACCTCCAGATGCAGAAAGAGGGCCACCTGCATCATGAAGGACCCCACTCACCCAGCACACACACTTTTTGTCCCGCTCCCCTCAGGAAGGAGGTTGAGGAGCATTAAATGTAGAACCACTAGACTGAGGAACAGCTTCTACCCTGAGGCTGTTAGACTCATGAAGCTCTAACCAGAATAATCACTGTGAAAAATCACATCATGTTGCTGCTGATCTGTTTCAATGTTGCTGCTGATCTGTTTCATGTTGAGGTGTTCATGCGTGCTCATCTGCTCACACAGACTCATGTTTGTGCTGTTGTTTGACTTTTTTTTTTTTTTATGCTTTTAGTGTTTGGTGTATTTTTAGTTGATGTTTTTCTTAGTTCATATCTTAGACGTTATTATTGTTTATCTTTTACATTTTATTGTTGGATGTAACTGGGACCCTGTGTACATAATTTCGTTCCACCACATGTACCACATGTGGTGCGAACGACAGTAATGAAAATCTGACTCTGACTATGTATGGCAGCAGCCATTTTGGATGTTGACATGGTAACAGTTTTCCAAAGGATCCTTTGTTACATATAGATGTTGCCACACACAAAAATGGAAATCAGTGCCTTACTTATCATGCTCACAACATGCACAAACAGATGCACAGAGGCTATTTCCAATTCTCCCTCTATGCTCAGCGATGGGGGACAAAATAAAAAATAACCAGCTCACTAATATGTTGGTTTCTGCAAAAATCAGTTGAAACTTGAATGCATTCATGAATCGAAGTGTCTGTTTCTCACTGTTCCCTTGAACAGACCTAATTGTTAGTCTAGAGAAGAGAGGCTTAGAAAAAGAAAATAATATTAGACAAAGAAACAAAATGAGCAACGCCTACCTTCTTACTGCAGGACCACCTGATTTCCTCCACCTCTTCATCCCTGCTCTCAATCTCTTTGGAGTGGCTCTGTCGCTGCTTCTCCATCTCCATCTCAAGCCGCAGCTTAGTCTGAGTACAAGATGAGGAGACACACATAACGACTCATGATATAAATACCCAGGGAAAAAAAAACGCATTAGAATATATTGGTTAGAAACTTTTGTTTGCAGACTTTAGGTTCTTTGGAAAGTGCATTTCTTTAGTTCAAAACCTTGCTTGGGGCTTCATAAGCAAGTTTTAGCAATATAAATATTTATTTTTACCCTACCTGCTCCAACATTTGAATAGTTCCAGCTTGTTCGTCCAGCTCCTCCTCCTGGTCTTTCACCTTTGCCTCGAGGTCATGAAGTTGTTTCTTCAACTTGGCCAGCGAGGCCTCATCCTTGGACTCCTGGGAGGACAGATCCTGCATCTCTGAGTTCAGTTGCTGCACTTTTACACTGGTGGCGTATAATTCAGTGTCCTTGTCCTGCAGGTAGAAGTGGACAGTTAAAAAAAAAAAAAAAAGGAAAGCTAAATGCAGTGCACATCTGGATCAGCTCTATTACAGTTCATCGTACAGAGAGAAAAGGGGAAGAGAAGCTCACCTGCAGCTGCTGGCGAAGGTTAAATATCTCGCCAGTTATAATGTCTTTTTCTCGAGCCAGTTTCTCCCGCTGGCTCTTTTCTCTTTGTACTTCAGCCTGAAACTGGCTTTGCTCCAGGTCAAATCTGGAACGCACACAAGGAGACACAGACACACTAAATAGAAACCCAGGAAAATGTGAAATTTGCATGAAAACACAGTGAAAACCAAAGGATCCAGAATGGCCCAAACTTTAAATTATATCTAGCTTCATCATAAAACATGTGAAAGTATTAAAGTAAAATACAGAAATACTGTTTATTAGATGCACATTGCACAAATCAGTTATCCGAATCCTTTTAAAACAATTCCTTAACAGAAAGACAATTTGTAGCAAATTATGTCTGAAGAAAATCTTAACTAACAATGATTTAGTCTAAAATGTGGTATGAAAAGCAACATTGAGCATTCCTTCAAGGAATGCTAGGCCGTAAATTAAAAAAAACATGAAAGCTGTAAAGGCATCCTATCCTCATTGCATAACTAAACAAGCATTTTGGTTATCTTTGGTGGAAAGTTTCTCTTCTATTAGGCGTAAGTTTAGCAATGTATTTTAGTAATCTGCTAAATGTTTTCTTCTGCAGTCTGAAGCAAAAACATTTATTGTTAGTGAACTTAACAGCTAAGTGTTTCGTGCTGACAGCTTGTCGTAATTCCCCGTGTTTTTCTCTGAAGTGCAGCTGAAAATAATTTCACCCACAGAGCATCTTCAATTAGCCACAGGGGAGAGATCACATTCTGCCACGGCGATAGCTTCTCGAGTGCTTAAAGTCGAAGTCATTTTCTCAGCTAATGCAATTCCACAGATTACAGACCATCTCAGCCACTATTCAAATTACAGAAAACTTGAGCGTTATGCGAGTGGGCCCTGTGCTGGGCAATCCCAAGGGGAACAGAACTGTAAGATCTCTGTGATGTATGTTTATAATTAAAAAAAAGATGGAAAGGCAGACGGAGTGATGGGAGTACGATGAAACTGACTTTCTCTGTTTCTTTTCCAGATCATGGTTACGGCTCTGTAGGCCCTCCAGATGAAGCTTGGTGTCCTGCAGCTCAGCCGTCAGCTTCTGGCACTTCTTCTTCAGCTGCTGCACGGAGCGCTGCAGATCCTCATTATCTACCTGCAAATCGGCCAGCTGCAGCACACGCACACAAACACATCATTAATAATTAATGGCAGCCTAATGCACATCTATTTAAAGATTTCATGTCTGTAGCTGACATACATTAAAGGTAATCACTGCAAAGTCGTAAACACTGGTAAATAAAATCAAAACGTAATATACAAAATCTGCACTTTTTTTTGTTTATTTTGCATGGTTAATTTGTCATTAAAGTAAAACGTAAGGAAAGTGAATGAACAGCGACTAACTATCCAAGAAATTTTGTTTACCCATAAAAAACTGCCCAAGTGACTGAAAATGTGTAAGAAATGCCAAAGTTTATGCTCAATAATCCAGGTAAAAAAATTCAACAATGTTCAATCAGGTCACGTGGACGGTTTTTTTTTTTTGTCGAGACGTTTCGTCCTTCATCCAAAGGACTTCTTCAATCTGAGGAAACACCAAACAAACTGAGTCCCAGAAGCAGCATACTCCATAGTGAAAAAATAAAAAATAAAAAAACAGTTTGCTAGTGCTAGTGCTTTGTTAGAACCAGCAAACTTTTTTTTCTTTTTTTTTTTCCCCACAATGGAGTATGCCGTTTGTGGGAATCAGTTTGTGTGTTGTCTCTTCAGACTGGGAAGACCTTCAGATGAAGGACAAAACGTCTCAGCAAAAAAATAAACCGTCTAGATGACCTGACTGAACATTCTTAGGTCAAAATTTGGGATGGGGATGTCCAACAGTTTTGGTGCAGTGGAACAGATTTAAGCTCAGGTTTGTTGAGTAAAGTATGCAGATAAGGAAAGGTTAGCTCAAAACTGTAAACTTAATGGCCTTGCTAAGGTTTCCCAAAAGTTAGGCATTTGAATGCCAAGTTCTGTTGTTTTGGAGCTCCACCGCCCTACTTGATTCAGTAGTTTTCATGCTCACGCGTTCATGTTTAGCAGCAGATTCACATTAATATATTCACTGTATGCTCTGAGGTTCTTAACCCGTTCCACCATATTTGTTTACCTACACAGGCTACAGCCAAGTGTGACGTGCAGATCAACCCAGATATCAGTGTCGACACTAGTGTCATGGAAAGAAAGAGTTGGTTTCTCTCGTCTGCTTTCAATACATTGCTCTCATTCCAAATGCACGGTGAAAGAGATGAATGTGTTAAATATTTTGGGAGTTTCTGAATGAAAACAAAACTAAAAATAATGCAAAGTCTAAAACATCCAGTCTCTATGCAATCTCTCAGAGGTGTTGCTAAGGGATAGGGTGGGCCCCGGAGGCCATCTTAGGACCAGCAAACTGTTTTTATTTTTTCCACTATGGAGTACGCTGTTTGTGGGAATCAGTTTGTTTGGTGGCTCCTCAGATTGAAGAAGTCCTTTGGATGAAGGACGAAACATCTCAGCAAATAAAAAAAAAACTGTCCAGATGACCTGACTCAACATTGTTGGATTTTTACCTGGATTATCGAGCATGAACTTTGGTAGCATGAACTTTGGTATTCAGTCTCTACTTTGATTTTTTTTTCTGTATTTACAGTGATACAAGTCATTCTAGTTTAAAAAAATGCAAATAGCTGATTATTAGTAAAAATAAAATTTTAAAAAATCAGTCATTTAACAGTCATTTGTTGGATTCTACTGAGTGTTTTGTTTACACTGAGTGTGGACCCACATTTCAGAATACAAATCACTATATTGGAAAACTGCTGTAGTACTCATTCAAACTGCACTTTCTGATATAGTTTGGAACAGCATTTTTTATGCTTGACATCATAGTTTGCAGTGAGTTACTTTAAAACCACACATTTTTTTTCCTTGCCTTTCTCTCAGCATGTCTTTTACTCTGCTGCTCCGTTTCCAGTTTGTCATCGAACTCCTGCTGCAGTTTCTTTTTGGTGAAGTCCATTTCACGAACGGCTCTGTTGTATTTTACCCGCCACTCTCCTCCTGGAGGAAAAGACATACAATTTTAGAAAATGTCTCCGTGACATTTGGGCATCTCCCACTTTTCATGCAGGCATAGCAGGGGTACACAGAGAAAGAGGCTCAAAAGCTCAGAAATGATGGATGCTGTGGATTATCGAGCGCACTGTACTGGCTGAGATGGTTATCGCGTTCAAGGACCGACATAATATAATCTTTCAGGAAATAAAGCTTCTTTCATCAAAACCTGACCTTTTGGGGTCAAAAAATTCTGCAGGAAGCTACAAAGCAGCCTTTGCGTTTCAACTCTAATCTTGAATAAACCTTAGGTACGAATTCTGAGCACACTACAATAGCAGTTAAGAGGAGGACATGTCTAAGTGGCACTTTCCACAGTTCTTTGCCGACCCTAATTCTGGAGCTGTCACAGGCTATCAGAACTAAAACAGCGGCCAGGCAGGCATTCAGGTTCAGGTTCATTTCCAAGCCTTATCATTTCAGCGCCTGTCCATTTCTCCTTCACATACCAACACGGGCTCCTCCATCAGTGCAGCTCATTAGCATATATATAGCATAATGACAACTTGCAGGGCCACCAGCTCTGATTCCAACGATTACTTTCTCATTCATCTAAGAATTCTGATATGCTCTGTAATGGCTTGTCTGCTGAGGTGGGTTGAAAAGGGAGTGGTATTGGAAGGGGGGAGGAAAAAGCCTCATGGACAATATGCTCTCAGCAGGCGCTCTATTTTCTAGCAGGGGGAAACCAATCAGTGGCGGGCATTAGTCGTATGCCTGGGAGTGAACATCTTAATCTGCTAGCGGTAAATCCCAAACTTGGGAAATATTCTTAACGGCGTTATGCAAGAAGCGGCCGAGCCTAACCGCCATGTTTCCTGCTGGAACGGTCAAACAAAGCTACGTGCTCCTGCAGCTACAATTAGTGTAAGAGAAGTTTTCAAACTGTGCAGATAATTCTGGTATAAGTGATTCGGTAAATTATGCTCCTGACCTGAGCTGACATGCCAATTAGGGAGGCTTAGTCAAGCTGCTTCTGTTGTCAAAAAGTACAATTAATTAGGGAATTTGAAATAAATGTTTAACGGGCTCTGACTGTAGTACCAGAGAATGCTTTTAGTGCAGTGCAAATCTTTATATTCGTCATCATGTTTGGCCTATAGATAGCTTTTAGCTCGAACTAACCAGAATCATCACCGTCGTCCATCTCTCCATTGAGCTCGGAAGTTTTCATGAGCCGTGCTTCCATCAGCTCCATTTCCTGTGATTCTAACCGTTTTGTCATGGCGTCAAACTTCACCTGGAAAACACCGTTTAATTACAAAGGGGAAAATCAGTGATAGAAAATAGGAATGTTTCAAATACTTCTGTTAACGGTGCACATTGCGTTTTGATTTTGTATGTATATATGTGCCTGTAGATCCTTCATGTCCTTCTCCAGACGGAGTCTCTCTGAAGTCTCAGTCTCCAGCAGCTGAGAAGCTGACTCACTGGTGCTCCTCTCATCAGCAAGCTCTGCCAGCAACTCTGTGATCTGCGTGCGCGCACACACACAAACACAAAGTGTGAGGCAAAGCTGCAAAAGTATTCACTACAGCTCCAGTGCAAGTTACTGATCAAATCTTTAACTTAGATAGAAAGAAAGAGCAGAACTCTACAACCAATCTCAAACACCATCCTGCCAGAGTGCTGTGACAAAGACAAAGGGACCCACCCGGCTCTCCAATCGATCAGAGTTCAGTCTCAATTCATTTCGCTCTTTCTCCACTCTCTCCAGCTTCAATTTCTGCTGCTGTATCTCCTCCTGGAGCACAGATTACAGCCATATATTTTACATGAAGTGTTACAAGATAAAACCATGAAATATTATACATCAGAAAGAGTGTCAAACTTTGATAATAGGATGGGCCACACTAAATTGTCAGGTGATGCAGTTTGAAAGTGATGCAAGACTGTGTAAGTGAAGGAAGTCTGAAGGGAGCTGAGGTGGATTTGATAAGAGAGGTCTGCTCACATCTTTGCTTCTCATCTGCTCCTCGGAGAGCTGGACTTCAATGAGGGGCCGGACTGTGGTGAAGACCTTCCACCATGGCCAGTCCTTAACGCCACGATTCTTCTTAATGTTTTTCTGAATGCACCGGATAGCAAGGTCCTGAATCTAAACACACACACAAAAGGGATAGATGTTTAAAAATGTACCTACAGTGACTGAGAGGCTTAAATTACCAGCATTCCTTCAAGAGAATAATGCAAATCAACTTTTAACACAACTAAGTAATTCATTCAATTCAACAAAGGGTCATCTGGACAATTTATTTTTTTGTAGAAACATTTCGTTTTTCATCCAAAGGACTTCATCAGACCGAGGAGCCACAACAAACTCGGTCCCATAAGTGGCTTACTCACATGGTGGGCCAACCAGTTTGATGGTGATAAAATGGTTTCTGGGGCCCTCCCTCTCCCTCGTCAACTCCTGAGGAAGCTGTAGCCAAAGTTGTTCAAAACATCACTGGAGTTACTTACATAGTTGGTCAGCCCACATCCAGTGGGTTGACCCACTATGTAAGAAAGCTATTTATGGGACTGAGTTTGTTGTGGTTCCTCGGACTGATGAAGTCCTTTGGATGAAGGATGAAATGTTTCAACAACGAAAAAGAAACCATCCAGAGGACCTGATTTAACTTTGTTGGATTTTTTTTTTTTTTTTTTTTACCAGGATTACAGTGTTGCACCTGAACGTTGAAATTCAATTAATTGTTTTACATATAGCATACTTTTTTTCACCAAATGCCAAAAGGTCAAGGTAAGTGACAATGTTTTACCCCAAGTTTGCATGCAAAATGTGTAGTGCTGTATATATATATATATATATATATATATATATATATATATATATATATATATATACACACACACATAAGATAAGATAGAACTTTACTGATCCCTCAGGGAATTGTTGTGCCAGTTTCAATACAAAGGAACATACACAAGGAATCACACAAGATATAAAAAATAACAAAGAATATAGAAATACCAACAATTAAGGTCTAAAACACATCAGATGCAGACAGAACAAAGTGTTTATTGGGGTGCAGGATTAATTTTATTGTCCTATGTGTAGAAAGGTGGAGGAGTTGAAAAATTTCATAGCCACAGGGAGAAAGGACTTCCTGTGGCGTTCAGTGGAGCACCCTGGTGGTCTCAGTCTACGACTGAAGGTGCTGCGGTAAGAGTCCAGGGTGGCATGCGGGGGGGAGATGTGTTGTTAACGATCAGAAGCTGTATATAT